CTCACCCCCAAATGTGCAGCCCAATGGAGTCTGGCCTATTTCTGAGTGGGATGAGGTTATCCAGCTGTACTGAGAATACAAAGTTATGGAGGGACATTTCCCAAAAAGAAGGCGGGTAGCTGTTTAAAACATGTGAGAGCCAAAGAAGACAAATGAAAAGTTTGAAGACAGAAATGTGTTAACTCATGGGCCGTCTAATCAGCTCTGCCATTCAGCATTTACTGAGGCGTTTCTACACCAGGTAAAACACTAGGTTCTGGTGGTCAGGCAGAGATGAATGAGCAAATGCCTGCCTCCCCCTTGTCATGTCCAATTTTCTGTTAAGGGAGTCTCTCCCACCTTCTGAAGAGCTGATGTTCATTGTGATGTATTCCATGATTCTTAGAACTTTAAATAATGTTCATACTGGAAAGTGAGCCCATCAGACAAAGCTAAGGAAGGGTACATTCGTTAGGAATAATTCCTTCCTGCCAGCCCTCCAGACATAAGCTGCTGTGATAGTGCCCCTTTTCAGATTGTGGAATATGAGTTAGTATTTTATGAGTGATTAGACTTTGTGTCACATAGAGAAAGACAGTGGCAGACTCATTTTACAAGCAATGCGATCCACAGTTGACTTAAAGCACAGGGCGATTTATAAAGGAAGATGAAAGCCCATTTCAAGTCTTGTCAAGACGTATCTACTTTTCTTCATATTGGAAGTGAGAAGGTGATGCCTATGTGATACTTAAATGTCTGACATCATAGGAATATTGTCACTGACCTGCAGTAGTTCATGATAAGTCACTCAGTCATGCTGCCCAAAAGTTGTGATTTCACAGAGCTTACTTTGCTCATTTCATTCTCAATGGCTGTTAGACTTAAAAAATAGGAGTTCTTCATGGATAATTTTCTATGTTCTGAACTTCTAACTCTTCTACCCTTAATTTGAATGTTGACAGTGAATACTAGTAGATATACCTCTGAGTTTTCTAATATACTCTTTATTTATTTATAAACCATAGGGCTGTTTCTTTAATTGATAGCCTACACTCTTAATTGATTTAGCTAAAGATATGACTGTTGTTCTATCCAATATTATTCGGGTTTTCATGATGGAGGATTAATGTGAACCTGATAACTCTTCCTCATTCCAAATCTTTGCTTTTAAAACCTGTGTCCATCTCTAGATTTTCTTTCTGCTGAGTGTAATAGTGCAAGGACTCAGACTTCCCTACACCTGCTTGAACCCTTGACCTCCTTTTTCTTCTCAAAATATATTCGTGAGTAGGCTAGGTTTGCTGCACCCATCTCTGTATCTGTACTGAAGTGATGTGCTCTAAATGAGATATGCAGGGCAGTCTGCCACAATAAATGCTGCCTTGGAGAGGAGGTTCTCTACTCTCTGCTGCTTAGGGACGCTCTCCCTGGCAGCTTGACAGATTTCCCTGTGGAACTATAGTTACTAAAAGGGAAACCAGAATATCTGAGGGAATGGGCTGGCAGAAATTATAAAACAAAACCAAAACCAAAACCAACCTAGGGAGATGTCACATGAAGCAACCAACTTCCAAATTTTAAAATCACGTGAAAACTCTTTGGTGGATGAAAAACCACAGTCTGTGAGGATACATCCTCCATGTAGGAATACTGAGTCTCATCATAGCTGTCATATTCAGATTTTCAGGAAACACATTATAGATCATAAACAGTTCCATCCTAGAAAATAACTCCATGGAATATGTATCCATGTTTTAGATAGATAACCCTAATTTTATTTTATTTTTTTGTGCACTAGAAACAAAATGATTATAATACTGTTCTTGAGAACAACCCACCCTATCTGAAGAGAACTGTTTGTTCATACTCAGTATCCAGAAGTAAGTTCACTCACATCACATTTCTTGAGAGCTCCCATCTTCTGCCAGGAGGTCTCACCTACTCCTCTGTTCAAGTTACTTCACCTGTGTCCATCTTTGGAGTTCAAGGTCTGGAAGTGTCCAGAATACAGGCTGTCTTGGCCTGTGGTCAGAGGTTCTATATTCCTCCCTACACAGAGGACAGCTGAACTTCTTGTCTTTCCTCTGGTTTGGCATTAGTGTTGAAGTTCCTTCCTATCTTGCAGAACTGGAAGGTGAGGCCTGCATCTCAAAATGATCCCATTATTCAGTCACAGTTATGCCTGTGCTTCTTAACCTTTGAACTCTGCTGAGTGTCCAGAGACCTTGGGTTAGGTGTACCCACCACCTGTACCTTCTCAGATCACTTTTCCTTTCCTCCCTGAATATGCCAAGTGTCCTTCTCCTATATGACTACTTTCTGGTCCCATCGCCTGGCTTGCTTGAAGGCACCATGTGTAGTAACTTGTTGGTACATATGTAACCAAGGTTATCTGCAGAGACCCTGAAAAGCAAATGCTTTCTCAGTTTGCAACAGCCAGCTACTTCCCCAAGCATGGGGCATATGTCATGCTCTTGGCTGCAGTTATTGACATCTGGCCTCCGAGATAAAATGCTAGTAACCACAACTGGGCGTCCCTTTGAATAGCTGAGCAGTTAGAGAGCCGGCTTCCCAGATTGCCTAGCTGCAGACCCTGAAATGTGGCCCCTGTGTACTCAGTGAAACATTCACTCTAGCCCACAATTTCTCAGCCACTGAGTAATCCCAGGAAGGAGTGAGCTGAGCAAAGAGCTGAGGCCGAGATCCAAGCATTCTGTGACTTCTAGTCTGCTGCTGTCTGCAGTCCTGAGATCAGTTCTTAGTGTGGCCTCCATGACACGTCACTCCAGTGTCTCAGAGACATGATCTTTGGGGTGTTCCTGCCATCCCCACTGAAGGCCTGAGGTGACAAAAGATGCTAAGGAGGAATGTTTCTTTCTTGTCCAAAATCGTTTAACTAGGACACAGAAAATGCAGGAGAGGATACACTGCCTTACTCAGAAGGTGGCATGACAGAAGTTGCTTAGAAATCAATGGGGGCGGGGCACTGATGAGATGGCTTAGAGGGTAAAAGCACTTGTCACCAAATTTGACAACTTGAGTTGGATCCCAGGATCCATATGGTGCAAGGAGAGGATTGATTTCCACAAATGGCCTGTGGCCCCTGCCGACATCACTCTGTGCAATGACTCACAGAACCAAAGCTTTGGAATGCTTAGTCATTTACTACCTTCCCTGGATAGACATGTGGGCTAGGGGAGTCTTCTTGCACAGCATGTTTGAGGCCTGTTTCAGTACAATGCACCAGAAGTGTGAGCAGAAGGATTACCATGGTCAAGGCCACCCTGGGTTACATAGTGAGTTTCAACCCATCCTGGGCTACTATGTAATACCCTGTATTGAGGGAGGGCGAGAGAGTGAGAATATACTCATGTCAATCATCTGCCCACACATTTATGGTTTTTTTCTAAATTAAGCAGGACTCAGCAGGGTATGTAATGCTGTTTTAAGTCACTTCACTTTAGAGCAAAATACTAATTGTAGTGAATTATAGGCAAGCAGAGCAATTCAGTATTGAGACCTTTCATATAGGACCAATAAGCAAATATAAATTTTCTGAGAAATTTGTTTCTGTACCTTCTCACCTAGGCTAGAATTTGTCACTATAATTCCTGGACCCAAGCTAATAGAATTACTCTGAGGGCCCATGTAGTCATCCAAACTTCTACTTATTACCTTCACAGAAGAGCGTATATAGGAAAGCTTTGTCATATAAGGTATTCTGCCATACACTTTAAAAACTCTAAGCTCTTACAAACTTCTGGCAATTTATTCAAAGCATGAAAACTAGTTCATGAGTCTGTTAAATGCAAATCATGTAGCTCTGTCAACATGTGTATGACTATGAACATGTATGTGAATTTTCTAGACAAAGTAATATTTTAAAAATGAGATTTCAGTGTATGCATACCAGTTTACTATTTGGTTTTTGTCTTAAGGTATAGTTTATGGTACTGCTGAAAACACTTTTAATATTATTACTATGATCTTAATTTGTAATTTATAACCTACTTTGGGATGACTAATAAAATTTTAATCTCTTGTGCTTTTTGTGTTTGCTTTTGAAACTTGAACTAGAAATAAAAAGCCACTAGCATTCAAAACTAGTGAAATCGTAAACTTGGCACAAATACAATATTTCTAAAATCCAAGTCTGGAAACCATAGAGGTCTACTACCCTGGAATCCAAAATTTCTCTATGACAAAGTCAGCCACATGACATCTCTCATCATTCAGAGTTTGGTTTATCTGCTCATGATAGCCAGGGAAAACACCAACTGTGGAGAACTATGACATAGTCAAAGAGCTCCAGAAAGTTCTTTTATACTGTTTGAACTAAAGTCAAAATTGTAAAGAAATACCCCAGGGTACAGGGTGAAAAGTCCTAGTATATGCAAACCAACTATCTATAAAAAGTATGTATGTATATATATATCATATATATATATGTATACATATATATATATGATATATATATGAAAAGAAACCAAAGAAGACCTACATAAATGTAGGTACTATGTCAAGCATTAGAAAAGTCAAAAGATGTGAAATTTGCCCAAGTTGATGTATACATTTGGTATGCAACTCCTACGATGATCTCAGCCATGGTATGTATTTATTTATTTATTTATTTATTTATTTATTTATTTATTTATTTATTTATTTATTTATTTATTTATTGGTTTTCTGAGACAGGGTTTCTTTGTGTAGCTTTGCGCCTTTCCCAGAACTCACTTTGGAGACTAGGCTGGCCTCGAACTCGCAGAGATCCACCTGCCTCTGCCTCCCAAGTGCTGGGATTAAAGGCATGCACCACCAGAACTCAGCAATGTTTTTCTAAAATCTTTATTCTAAAATTCTATGATAAATTTATCTAGAGGAGCTTGAGCCATCTTGACAAGAATAGGAAAGAGAGTGCAGGAGACATGGTCAGTGTTAAGAGCACGAGCTACTCTTCCAGAGCTCCAGGCTTCAGATCCCAGAATCCACGTGGCAACTCACACTGTCCTTAACTCCAACTCCAGGGGACCTAACACCCTTTTCTGTATCTGTGTGCACCAGACATACACATGGTGCATATACAGGCAAAACAAGCACACATATTAAAGAAAAATATTCTGAGACAAAGAGATGTGAGTCCCCTGCATCTGAATAGGTCTGTGATCTTAGAAGGGAGGTGGTGATCCCAAGTTTGACAGTGAAATCAGTTGCTCTGTAGAGATAACAGATCTTAAACCATTGACTTCTCATTTGAAATCCCCTGGTTTTCATTTCTGCCAAATCTTAGTACTACTGGTCTGGAAAATAATCTTTTTTAATTATAACTTGTATCCAACATTATTTTCAACAAGAAAATATATGTGTATGTATATATATATTATGTATATATAATATATATATATATTTGATATGAAAATTTTATGTGGTAGCAGTAGCTGGTGCCTGAGTCCTCTGCAAGGAGACTGCTGTGGGTTTTCACAGAATGGTGAATACAGTCTCTTTCCAGAAGTCGAGAGTCTTAGAGATGGCATCAAAGGTGGCCTTAGTGAAGTTGCCCAGTGTGTCAGTGAAGCACCAGTCCTCAGTGCTGGTCAGCTGCATCACCTTGAATACAAGAATGAACATGGAGCCTGAGCTGCTCAGGGCAGGGCTGAGGCACACCAGCAGGGATCCACAACAGGCTGTCACCTCTCGTGGTACAGTGTGGAGTTCACCATCCTTATCCCACCATTTACTCCAGCCTCTGCACAGGGACAATGGAAATCTTGGCCCCATAGGAGGGTCTGAGGAAGAGCTACCTCCTCAGGGCTCTTAACACCCAGGCCAACAAAACCATTGTAGACCACCATGGCTACAAAGCTGGACAGCCCAAGTCACTTCAGCCTTGGCCTGATCATCAGAACCTCATCAAGGGACTCTCCAAGGAAAAGTCAGTAGCCACATGTTCTTGGATGGGCAGAGGGAACAGATAGATCTTCAGGGACTTGATCTTCATGTCCTAGTCCACTGGACATAAGTTGGTGACTTCTTGTCTTTGGCTCTGCCTCCAAAACCCCACAGCCTTGACTCCAGTCGTCACCACTATGTCCTCTATGAAAGCTTCTGAATCCTCCCAAGCATGGGCCTCTGTCCTACTGCTACATGAGCATCACCCATTAGATGTTTTCTTGAACAAGAAGTGAATCCTACCCAAAAAAGAAATAAGTAAAAAACTATAGAGATGGTTGTTTCATGAAGAGGGGTAAAGGCATTAGGTGACAACTTGTGAAGCTGGATGTCAGGGTGATGATGGGTGGGGACTGAGATCCCAGCAGATGCTGGTTTGTAGAGTTGACAGCTGGTGGTGTTGGTGAGTTAGAGCCCTTAGATGTGCCAAACACTGCAAACCTTGCATAAGATGTACCCACCTGGAGGGTAGCACCCTTGACACTTGCCCTCTGAGGACAGCAGTAGCCCACATTCCTCAGGCTTGTAACAGCCAATGGGAAAACTGTCCAGAGCAGCAATCCCACCATCCCCTTCTTGTTCCAACGTTATGGCCCACCCCACCCTACGTATTGTGGGGCAGATTTCTAATACCAAGTCCTCAGCACAGTGAATCTGGATGTTGGCATCCACTATGAAGGGGATTCTATCGCGTTCCTGGTGACACACCACCGACATTCTGATCTGTGTGGTGGCTGCTGACATGTTTGGTGATTCAGCCAGGGGTGTAGCCCTAGACCATGCCTTCCATATTGAGTGATTTGTGTGTTCTACCTGCTGGGCCCAAATAACAGGCTGTCATCCCTGTGCTGTGCCAGGCCAGCCTACCATGAAAGCTGCTCTGTGGCCACCCTGGAGAAGTGTTTTGCATTCTCTGAACTCATCCTAGCCTGGATCATTTAGAAGGCTTACTGTAACAGGGCCCCAGACCTTAGCACAACTGACTCCATAACAGAAGTACCATTCAGCCCATAAACTCAACATGTCAACTCTACCATCTTACAAAATGAAAACAGACCTAATCCATCTATGTCCACAGTTATGAGA